ATATATATATATATGAAATTTACCATGCTATCTGAAGAAATTTACTGTAAATAAATGTATTTGTTTACATACACACATAAAACATTAGCCATTCTAATGTTTTAGAGAGACTAATGATATTTTTAGCAACATTCACTGAAGTTTCACTTCCTTATAAATAGCTTAAAAATGTATCTACCTTTGTGGAATAAGTAGTGCATCATTTATAATGGACATATTATTTCCAATTAATCCAGGAAAGTGTAAATTTCCCTTTATAAACATAGTAACCTTTCTGGTATGACAAAAAGAAATGCCTGTTCTTGTCTAAAACTAAGAACAAAATAACCTATATGAGCAATGAATTTCTTAATTTCACACATTTCTAAATTGTAAACAAAATAAAATTTGATTCTAGTTTAACATATATGATTGCTAATATTTTCAATACCATCAGTGGTATTATATCAATAAAAATATATGGACATGTTGAACTCTCTGTTTCCTGTCAGAAAGTATTTAATTTGATTGAATCCACATATCTTGGTGATTATAATTGTTTTCAGATCTCTAGTTCCCCAAGTACATAAGAACTAAGGACCTGTCTTTCTCATCTCAGTGTTTGTGTAGGAGGAAACTTATTCTTCCGAAGAATTTCACATAGTCTCTACATGTGATAACTGAAATGATTTCTCACGTACACCTTGTATAGAGCACTTTGTCTTTCCTATATCATATTGATTAACACAAATTGTTGTTATGTGTTTATTTGTCTCTGTCACCTTTAGTCTACAAATACTGAGGACGGTCACCACATCTGTTTTATTTTACCATTTACCCCCCTGGTGCCTAGCATGCACTCACACATACCTATTCAGTGAAGGTTAACATTGTCATATGCTGTGTTGTAAGTCTGTGATGCACTCCCAGGTCTTACCTGATTTTTAGGTGACCACGAGGCTTCTAGAGATATACTTGATCCATAAGCAGAACATCCTTCCAATTAGGGCTTAACTACATGTTAGCCAATGAAAAGTAGATTTTATTACTTACAGTAAGTAAGAAGTTGATAGTGTGAAAAAGATGAGCAGTCCACCTGGGCCAAGAACCTTTATGGCAAGAATGATGACATCCGCCCACATCCCATCTGTGTGTCATGAGTGAGAGATTTAAATGGTAGAGTTGTATGACCCTCAATACCTCTCCTCCTCACTTCAGCACATCTGTCCCCCCATAAAGTTTTCCATGGCTGCCTTATAC